TGGTGCTGTGATCCGCGGCGTGGGGGGGGAGTCCCAGATGGCTCGGGGGGTCCCGAGTGGGGTCCCCGGGGGCTGAGCAAGTGGCTGCACCACTGGCAGACCGGCTGGGGGTCGGGGGCGTGGCGACGGACCGACTCTTAATTGATTATAGGCAATTAAAAGCCACCATGAGGAGGTGGGTCATCCTCGGGGGCAGCACCGATGGAGATGTTCCACTCGTGACCGTGACACCCACGAGGCTGCAGCACCCGCATTCGCCCTCCACTGTCTCCCATCTCCACATCCCCAGCCAGACACACTGTTTCAGCCCCCTCAGGGGGGTCCCAGGGCCCCTCCAGCCCGGGGGTCACTCGAATGGTCTGTGCCCAACACGCCGGGGCGGGGGCACCCCGGGCCCCCCCGGCGCTGGGCTGAAAGGGAGAGTGCAGGGCTGCAGAGCTGCTCACCCCCGGGGATTAAGGCGAGACCTTTGTGGGAGAAAAGGGGCGGGAGAGAGACCAGATTATCCCGAATCTGCCTAATGCAGCGTTTCTTGCATATTCTAGAGCGTCTGGCGCGCCTGGGGAAGGAGCCAGGCTGGGGGTGCTGAGTGGGGTCCCGGGATGTCCCGGCCGTGCGGCCCTGGGAGCTCAGGTACTGGGACACGATGCTGCAGGAGGAGGAAGGTTTTTCATGTCACCCGTGCGAGGAGCTCCATTCCTCTAGCTCTGCAGCACCGGGTGCTTTGATGCCTCGTCCGGCACAGACTCTTCTTCCACGGGAAGGGCAGGAGGCCACTTGTGGCACGACCAGGGAGCTGCCACTCCTGGGGGCAGCGAGGGCGAGCGCGGCCCTGCAGATGTGCCGTGGTTGGCAGGGTGGAGAGGCTCTGCCAGACTGAGCACCAGGGGACAAACCATGCTGGGCACAGCCTCTGCCTGCAGCCTGCGTGTCCAGCACCACCTGCCTCTGCCGGTGCCTGCAGCCTCCTTCCCAGGCCGTGCCGGCTCCCCAGTTCACACCAGTGCCATTTCCATAGCCGGTTTGTTTGGCAAATTTTATTTTCCTTGCTTTCCATATAGAGAAACCGAGGCAGGAGGCAGCGCCCAGTGCCCATGGTTGAGCAGGAGTCCTCTGGGAGCCACCGCTGGATGCAGCTGTGGTTTGTTGGTGGGTGAGGAAGAGGAGGAGTGTTTGCCAGAGCCCCAGCCAGCGGCTCTACCCACTCATGTGGAGCCAGATCATTTTAATGGCAGGCGGGCACGGCCCGGCACGGTGCTGCTCACCTCACCTGACGCTGTCATGGGAGCACGATTGCTGGCAGAGACAGCGCAGTCAGGAGGGATTAACATCAGCCGGGTGGTGGGAGCCGTCGGGAAAAGCTCCTGTGGGATGGCCCAGCTCCGGCTGGGAACAGCAGACACCCACACGACTCAAAAATCTGGGAGAAACAGGCTCCCTGTGCTCTCCTCCAGGGCACAGCCCCGGGGCTGGACCCGGCCCTGGGGTGATAGCGGTGAGGATGGGGTGCTGGGAGGCTTGGGAGCACAGAGCGGGTGCTGCATCGCCGGGCCCTCCTGAACCCCTCTCCTTGTGCTGTTTCTCAGCAGCTTTTGAAAGCGGAGGAAAAAAAAAAAGAAAGAAAAAAATTGAAAAGCCCTTTGAAAA